GAGCGCTAACTTTCTCTTGGCTTGTCCACCCAACTGCCCTGGCAGCAAATATTAACCCGAAGGAAACAAAGCAGTTTATAACGTCTTTAATCAGGTTAAGCACAGCAACACAGGCAGAAACAAGGCACAAGCTGGCATTGACGTTTAAAGTTAGCTCTACATGCAGCCACTGTGTAGTGCTTTTTATACACTTAGTAACAAGCAATTCACCATTTGGCAATTAAACAGTTAACACCACACACCCCTTCCCATTAGCTTGCTTGTCAGTAAGGCGCACTTCTGTTACGTTACAAGGAGGCGCCATTCGCAAGCTTTATGCCCCACCGAGCTCCGATGGAAGCGTTCGTTTCTTTTGTGCTTGAGCAGCAAAGACCCTCCAAACAGCTGAGAGCACATCATCAGAGTTTACAGCTGCTCGGCCCCTTCTCATTGTCCTTCCCAACAATGGTGAGACCCATTCGGGGCTCGACAACTGAGCAAAGAGAGAAGCAACCTAAAACTAAGGAGAAACTTCCTGATAGTGGTACTTGTTCTCTCCAGAAGTTCTGGGTGCTCCATCATTGGAAGTTTTTAAGAAAAGACTGGACAGCCATTTCTTTGAAATGGTATAGGGTCCCCCCCCCCACAAGGTCCCTTCTAAGTGTTATTCTTTCCAAGGTCCTCTACTAAGATTTTGGCATCCTCAATTTTCCTGCCTGAGCAGGGGGTTGGACTAGAAGACCTCCAAAGTCCCTTTCAAGTCTGTTATTCTGTTATTCCTGAGTTAAATAGCTAAGACCCTCATTGGGACCCTATCTCTTTTGCTCCCTCTGTACTAATCAGTTAAAGAGCTGCCTCTAGACATTCATTTTAATAAGATTTTTAGAAACCTGCAATAGAAAGTTCTTCATGTCTCCTTACCCTGAAGACCCAATTTCATTTGGAATTTAATCCCAAACTGATTGCCCCTTTGGCATTTCTCTTGATACTTCTCTAAAGTGCACCCCCAAGAAGCCACAACACACACTCTCTCTCTCAGACACACACAGACACATAGACACAGACACACAGACACACTCAATTTAAGCAAATACCTTTGCCTTGGAGACTTTAGAATCATAGGCTAGAAGAAGGGACCTTGGAGGTCTTATAGTTCAACCTTCTGCTCAAGGCAGAAGAGCTCATATATACTTGCCATTCGCAGACATCCTGGCTTTGGCTGCAAGAACTGCAAGCAGCCTTCCTGGCCAGACACTTCCTTGTCCCGTCGCCCCATGCGAGGCGGAAGGCCTAAGAGAAAGCGCCTAGTCTGGGCACACAGCCCTTCATGATGGAGCCCTTCCTGGGGAGCAAAGCATGGCTTGGATGAACTGATCCATCCTGAAGGTGAGCTCCAGAGCAGCAGTGGTGGCGGCAGAAGGAAGAAAGTGAGCTCCAGAGTGGTGGCAGCGGCGAAAGGTGAGCTCCAGAGTGTTGGCAGCAGTGGCGGAAGGCAGAAGATGAGCTTCAGAGCGGCGACAGCAGCAGAAGGTGGTGGCAGAAGACAAGCTTCAGAATGGCAGCGGCGGCGGTGCTCCAGGAGAGCGGGCAGATGTCCCGGGGCTAAACATGCACACTGCAGTGGAGCAGCAGTCTCAGCCCTAGCACAGCATCTCCCCCGAGGGCCGCCCACCCACCCATTGGCCGGCACGGAAGCGGCACATCCCCCATCACAGGCTGGATGTGGGACCTGAGGCAGAGGGGGAGGCAAGCGGATGGCCGAACGCGCCAGGCCCAAAAGGCAAGCAAGCCTTGCTGTGTCCCCCTGAGGCAGCTCTTTGGCCGGGCACAATGGGTCTCCCTCCCCTGCCGCCAGCATCAGCCTTACCTTCTAGATTTTCCATGCCCCTCTGCTGGCCTGAATACCATGCCCTTCAGATCCCAACGGGGCCAGCATGTGGCTGCCCATGAAGGTAAGGCTGATGGCAGGCAGCCCTTGGGGGAGACGCTACCTTGGGACTGAGACTGCTATGCACGCGTGCAGTCCAAGGACATCTGCCCACCCTCCTGGAGCACTGACGCCGCTGGGCACTGACCTCATTGAGATCTGAAAGGCAGGGCACTTGGGCTGGCAGAGGAGTGTGGAAAGACTGCAGTTCCTCGAGGCCTTTGGGACAGATCAGATTGTCCATGGCTTTGCTCCCCAGGAAGGGCTCCATCGTGGAGGGCTGTTCTTGAGGCTTCTTGGGCCTCAAGAAGTGGTAGGAGGCTGAGGGAGAGGAACGGATTGAGGCAGAGAGAAGTGGTAGAAGGTGGAGGGTGAGAGAAACGGGAGGCTTTGGAGATGAGCACCTTTCCCAGCCCCTCTTCCCTGAGGGGGCACTTGGCTGCACTTACCTCTGCTTCAAGGCTTCTGCTGCTGGAGTGGGTGGGAGCAGGCCAAGGAAGTTGGGCAACTCCAGTCTAGGTGAACAAGGAGAAGCGGAGATTGGCAAAGGAAGGCAGAGGTAGAGAGTTGGGCTGTGGCCACCATGTGGTAGGCCGCGGCAGAAGACAGTAAAGCTGGCTGGGCCACATGGAAGGCAGCTAGGCCAGAATGCTTGCAGGCTCACCCAGACAGATCAGGGCCACTCAGCTGGGCTGCGAGGAGAGCGCTGCATGGGATGCAGCCGCAGCAGCGAAGGCAGGCTAGCTGACTGGCCCGCACAGACCATGTGGTCAAAGCAAGCGAGGGAGCCGGACAGAGAGCAACAGCAGCTGTTCTGGGTGAGCGGGCAAGATGAGGAGTGACTAGGCGGGGCGGGGCGGGGCGGGGTGGGTGGGGCGGGGCCAGTGCAGAATTTTAGCAACCGGTTCACCTGAACTGGCCCAAATCGGCTGAATCCCACCACTGCATCTGGATGAAAAAGCAAAGATGTTTCCAACAACACTGGTATATTACATAATGCTGATGTTTACCTGAAATGCAGTGATGTAAACTGGGTAATTTGGTATGATTATGAAAATATTAATTGCACATATCTATTGGGATAAATTATATATTTACAGTATAAGTAGTAAGAGTGATTGAAAAAGTATTGTAAAGCTTTATTTTATGGCATAGCATTATTAACCTGTTATCTTATACTCCACATGTCCTATCGGATAAAAGTTGTATGGTGATTAAGTTCAGGAATTTAATTAAAAAGTAATTAATTTTATGCCTAGCTGTTTAGCAAGAGACTCAGTGAAAGTAAGTCATTAGATTAAATTCATTTTAACCATTTTTATGCAGTGCTATTAAATATCCTGTAGCTTCCTGCCACCATACTCTATCATCAATTAGCAGAAGCATCGTGGGTGAATCTAAAATATGACCAAAGGAGACTAATTAAATCAGTCAACTTAATGCTACTATGACCAAAATCCTGAGGAAACCATTAATGTTTTGTCTAATGTATCAAATGTATCTTACAATTCTAATGGTTTTTCAACATCAGCTGTGAATATTAGGGTCTCTTTCAGCATGGCAAATACGATTATTTGATAATGTTAACATTGCAGGCATTTGAGGCCATATCCTAATGCCATTACAGGGCAAAATTCCAATTTTAGCTAATTACCTTCTACTGGCTTTGATAATTAATGTACTGTATGCAACTAAGCATAGTAATACTGTAGTTTTAATAGCATCTCTTTAAATAGTTACTTAATTGAAAAGCATGAAATGTACATTTGAGCAAAGAAAGTTAGCAAGTGGATTCAGGAATAGTCTGCATAAAGGATACATTAGCTAAAAAAAAGGTAAGTGACTGACAGTAGCTGAATCACTGTTCTTCATATAATAGAAGAACAGTGAAAGTTTAAGTTTAGAACATTAGTATGCAAAAGATAGAGATTTCCAATTACTTCACTAAACATTTTTCATTATTCTGCAGATAATAGGCTAATATTCTTTCTTATTTACTTTTTAATTTTTACCCCTTTTAAGTGTCTTGTTCATTACTTCCATTGAAAATGCTAGGAAAATTCATATTATAAATTTGCAACATTTCATTTTCCTTCAGTTCTGACCTACCGAATAATGCAAATGCATTGATAGAAGCATACAAGTTGAGAAACTTGGTTGGATAGCCAAAAACTACGTACTGGTCATAAATGGAATAAATAGGAAATATGTTCATGAATATTAAAACATTAGTAATATCTTAATCCAATTTCATTCATGTATGAAATTGGATTACACAAACACACACATACAGATATGAATATGCACACATATGCATATATGTGGGTATGTGTATTCATTCCAAGAAGAAGGTGGAAAGGTTTTGCCTGCTAGACTTGAAATGTTGATTTATTTTTAAATGAAAATGCTCATAACATTTTAAAATAGAATTAGATAAATTTTCATTGAAAACTGTTTATTTTATGGGAGCAAACAAAGTCTGGTATATTGTTGACAGATTGGTATAGAACATTTTGAACACAAATTAATAAAATATTGATAAAAATAATTACTTTGGGCACTTTCCATATTTCTGCCTTGCCAGAGTTCTTTTCTTCATAGAAGACTTTGCAACACAATATATCCATTCCATTCTTCATGACAGGGAAGGTAACAGAATATTTAGATAAAATCTCTGCAGATCAACCAGGTATGTGGTAGTGCTATATACTACATATTACAATATAATTAATAACATCAGTGAGATTCATAGAAAATTCCATTCTTTTCTACCCGAACACCTATCAATATAGCTATCTTTTCAGAAATTCCAGTAGTTAGGTTCCTACCATCACCAGCAGCCTCAAAACTGGAATTAAGCTGCTCAATTTGTTTTGCTTTATACTGCACAAATCTGAATCTCCATCTAATATTCATCTCCATTAGGATTGCTGGTGAGCTATTCTGGTGAATTTATATTCTTTTAGAATAAGGGAACATATGTTTTGGTTGAAAGGTCATCCAAATGGAGGATTCTGACTGCAAAATCTACAATAAATAGAGATTGCAGGAGTACCCACATGTACTCCATGAAACAGTGTTTTTTTTTTTTCAGGAAGTGGGGGAGAAACAGATGCCAGGATCTGCATTTTTATAGTTAGTTTGTGATCATCTGGTTGTCGTGGGATTCCATCATGATTATCTTTAGACTGGAAAGTTCTAGAAATCACCAGGTGAGTCTCCTCCAATCCTTAAAAACAAGTAAAATAAGTTTAAAGATGTACTCTTTATAATATACAGCAAAATAATTATTGGTTTTAGAATTTTTAAAATGGATTTAAGGGCTCTGATGGGTTTGACCTAAGATTTTGGAGTTAATTTTAAGGATTGTTTCTCGTAGGAAAATATTTTTATTTATATCTGAAACTGATGAGATGATTTTGAATTTTGAACACTAAAGGGCACCAGATAGCTATAACTTGAAAAAAAAAGGATTCAATATATGTGTGCAATAAGTTTTTGAACTATTTAACTCTATGATAGAACCAGGTATTATCGAGGGGGCACTAGCAAAAGGAGACTGAGAAAGATTTGAAAGAACCACTTTGAAAGAAGCGGTTGTGAGGCCCCTCCTCAAGAAGCCCTCTCTGGATCCGGCTGTTTTGGCTAACTATTGTCCAGTCTCCAACCTTCGCTTCGTTGCGAAGGTTGTTGAGAGTGTGGTGGCGCAACAGCTTCCCCGGTACCTGGATGAAGCTGTCTATCTAGACCCGCTCCAGTCCGGCTTCCGGCCTGGGCACAGCACGGAAACGGCATTGGTCGCATTGGTGGATGATCTCTGTAGGGCCTGGGATAGGGGTTGCTCCTCTATCCTGGCCCTGTTAGACCTCTCAGCAGCTTTTGATACCATCGACCATGGTATCATGTTGCACCGGTTGGCGGGGTTGGGGGTGGGAGGCACCGTTCTGCGGTGGTTCTCCTCCTACCTCTCTGACCGGTCGCAATCTGTGTTGACAGGGGGGCAGCGGTCGACCCTGAGGCACCTTGCTTGTGGGGTGCCACAAGGGTCGGTCCTCTCGCCCCTTCTGTTCAACATTTATGTAAAGCCGCTGGGTGAGATCATCCGTGGCTTCGGGGTGGAATTCCACCAGTACGCTGATGACACCCAGCTGTACATCTCCACCCCAGGCCACCCCAATGATGCCCTTGAAGTGATGTCCCAGTGCCTGGAGGCCGTGCGGGCCTGGATGGGGAGAAACAGGCTCCGACTCAACCCTCCAAGACCGAGTGGCTGTGGCTTCCGGCGTCCCGATATAGCCAGCTGATGCCATTGCTGGCTATTGGGGGTGAATCACTCGCCCCCACGGAGAGGGCTCGTAACTTGGGCATCCTCCTGGACGCACGGCTGTCTTTAGAAGATCATTTGACGGCCGTGGCCAGGGGGGCTTTTTATCAGGTTCGCCTGATATGCCAGTTGCGCCCCTTTCTATTTTTTTTTTAATTGAAAAAGTTTTCAAATACAAGTTTTTCCCCCTTTCCCCCCCTCTTCCCTAACCCCCCCTCACCACCCATCCCCCCCTGTGACTTCTTCTTCACAACAATAAGCTAATTCATAATTAATTACATAATATTTTACCATGCCCTTACTCACTCCTCAAAGTACTGACCCTTAGCATAATATTCTTATAACTCCGCTTTTCTCCGCTTTTCGCAATAATCTACCCTTTTTCTCCTCCCCCAAACTTATAAAATATTATTATTATTACAACATAACCTTTAATCTTTTATATATATTAATATAACATTTCAAAGCAGCCTTCTCCAAATTTAACATTTATTCAGTTCTATCCAATTCTTCCACTCCCCAAAATATATGACTTAAAAATCCTTTTTCTTAAACTAATCAATCACTAAACTAGCCTATTTCAACCCAGTTTCCTGCAAGATTACCATACACTACAATTCTAAATATAATCCACTGCCCACTCTGCTAAAATATACATATGTCTATATATACATTCCATTTTATAAAAAGAGAAAAGACAATAACTTTAAATTTATAATTCATTTAGTATCTTTTTTGATGTCTTTCCACTAGATTGTTAAATCCATCATCCATAATAGGGTAACATAGCATCCTGGTGCAACAGTTTATTCAAAATCTTCAGTCATCTTCTGCCCCCATCAATAATGAATATCCTCATGTATATATAAAAGTAAAAACAACCACCCGAGTGACATTATAATTATATTCCATATAGTTGTAATTGTGGTTTTCATCAGGATTATAAATTCCCATCATCTTAGTGGGTAACAGCCAGATCTTCTGCATGCCCCAACATGACTCTCTTGCCTTGTAACTCAATTATAATATATTTATCGGTAAAAGAAATCCAAAATAGATAGTTCAAATCCAACAATGTAAGGCTCTTTCCACATCCCAAAATCACGGCATTGCAGAGATCTGCCACTTTCCTCAACATAGTATTAAACGATAATTCGCCTCCAATATCTTTTCACATATTCATTTATTTTTTAAAATCCCTGGCTTCACTGTTGCTTGGTTTAGAAACTACTATTTCTACGAGATCTGTTTCTTTTCTTTTTCTTTTGCGGGTTGCATTTCCATCCAGATTTCCTTCCTACAAGTTGTGTATCAGCTGATCGGTTGTCATTCTGCTTTGTAAATTGATCTTGTTGGTTTTGTTTTATTATCTCATATGTCTTTTCCATCACTTGTATATCTGGTTGATTTACACACTTGTCTGTAACTTGATAATTCATCACATTAGAATCAGATGACACTGCTCTCAAATTTATAGACAGTCCAGCTGGGGTATCCAAGGAGTCCAAAGACAGTTTATCTACCACAGCCTCTGTAATTTGATGTTTTCCCTTTATTTCCAGCTCCTTCTGCTTGTCCTGTGTTATGCCTAAAGATGTTAAATTTAAAAATTTTTGATAAAATTCTTCCGCTTTTTCGACAAATTGGTATCTTACTCCTTGGTGTCTCAATATTAAACCAACTGGGACATCCCACCTAAATAGAATATTCCTTTTTTTTTAACTCATTCACTAGAAAACCAAATTTCTTCCTCTCCATTAACATCTTGGGCGGGAGTTCCTTAAAAATCCAAATCTTTCTTCCACGAAATTGCAAAGTAGAATTATAAGAATTCTGCACAATATTATTTCTAATTTCTTTGTCTGTAAAATAAATCACCACATCTCTAGGCAATTGCCTTTGTTTTGCCAACCAGGAGTTTATTCTATAAATTCTGTCAATCCTGCAAAACACTTCATCAGGTTGAACCTTTAAAATCCCAGCCAGAATTTCAGAAGATATCTTCCTTAAATCATCTCTGTCATTTTCCTGCAGACCTCTCAGTCTAATTGCATATTCTGTAAAATTGTGTTGGATCATTAAAACTTCTCTTTCAATCCTCTGTTGTACATTTTCTTCATTACCAGTCTTTTGATCAGCCTCCATTTTAAGTTTGTCTTCTGAACTATTATCCTGAGTGTTTGCCAAATCCTTTTTAATTTTTTGGATCTTGTCATCCAAATTCTCCTCAGTTTCTTTCATTTTAGACTCTAATAATTTAGTATTTGCATCCAACTGAATCACAAAGTCTGCTAAGCCATTAGCTGTTCTTAAAATCTTTCGATCCAAAAAGCCAAACTTAGATTTCACCAATTCACCAATTTCTTTGATTTCCAACTTAAATTTTTCAAGTTGCTGATTCACAATCTCATCCCTTCTTACAATCTCCTCAAGAAGAAATTCTATTATATTAAAGTCAGGTTTCTGAGACTGGAGAGTTAAAACTTGTTGATGTAATTTATTAATGGGGGAATCCCCCCCCCACTGCCTGTTTGTCTAGCTTTATAAGTCTCAGTGCCATTTTTCCACGCAGACAAAATTTACTGGAAAAGAGAAAAAAAAAACTTTTTTCCAACCAAGATCAATATCAGATCCCCAAGGGAAAAAAAAAGAAAAAAAAACAGAAGTGAGAGTGAGGTTTTGCCTTCAGTTACAGCCAAAAGTATTCATTCCGCTACTTTGTAATTGAAAACGGAAGGAGTTTCCCTTTCAGCCTCTCTTCAAGCCGCAGCAGCAATCGCCATTTTAAAAGACCTTTTTCCCTTCACTTCTTAGGCAAAATAAAATAAAAAGAATACTTGCGCTTCAGGATCAGAGGTCCAGCTCATATCTTCTTTAATTAATTTATTTGACAGATTTACAGGCTTGCTTTTGCCCCCTAGCTCTGCGTGTAGCAGAGATTTCCCAGAGCCCAGAGCATCGGCTGGGGATACGGGGAGTCTCTTCCGCTCCCTCCCAAAAGTAAATAAAAAACTTTTGGGATTAGGCAGAGGACTCTACCCACCCCAGCCGGCTCTATCTCCGTTTCCTAATGGAAACGGAGTTTTTTTGAGCCGCCATTCTGCTGAAAAAGGCGGCTCTTACAGGCAGTGGGTTCGACGATCCCGAAGGAACGTCCAGCGGGGACAAGCAGCAAACCGGAAGTCCAGTTGCGCCCCTTTCTAGATCGGGACTCCCTACGCACAGTCACTCAGGCACTTGTCACTTCCCGCCTGGACTACTGCAACGCTCTCTACATGGGGCTCCCCCTGGGGTGCACCCGGAGGCTCCAGCTGGTCCAGAACGCGGCCACACGGGGGATTATGGGGGCGACGAGGCGCTCCCATGTGACACCTCTCCTGCGCGAGCTGCACTGGCTCCCAGTGGTTTTCCGGGTGCGCTTCAAGGTGTTGGTGACCACCTTTAAAGCACTCCATGGCTCAGGGCCGGGGTATTTACGAGACCGCCTTCTACCACCAATAGCCTCCCACTGGCCAGTACACTCACACAGAGTGGGCCTCCTCAGGGTGCCATCCGCCAGACAATGTCGGCTGGCGACCCCCAGGGGGAGAGCCTTCTCTGTGGCGGCGCCCTCCCTCTGGAACAACCTCCCCCCAGAGATACGTACAATAACAGACCTCCGGATTTTTTGTCGGGCCCTGAAAACCCATTTATTCCAACTAGCTGGGCTGGCTTGAGTTAAATTTTAAACTGATTTTAAATTGGAATTGTTTTAATTACGGCCAAAATATTTTAATTATTTTAAACAGTTTTTAGATTTTGTATGTCTTGTTTTTACTTTGGCTGTTCACCGCCCTGAGTCCTATATTGGAGAAGGGCGGTATAGAAATTTAAACATATATATATATA